TAAATAAAACTTTAAAACAACACAATTTGACTTTACAACGCGACTAAAACCCTTTTTATTTAACTATTATGTTTGAAATAAAACTTCTTGGCTATCACTTAAAACAAAACTTAATGTACTTTTGAACAAGGTTGAATTTTATAATGCGGCTAGAACCGTTTCTGTTATACCGTCAATCAATCAGTTATGTTCCTTATCTCCGTTGATTTGAATACCTTTAAAATATTCTACAGATATCTAACCTTTAAGCTGGCTACAAATATTTGCCACAAACATTGGTGATACGTACATAGTAGGTCAGCTCCGTACTCGCAGTTGGCCAAGTGATCAAACTTGGCCGTCAGTATTGGTAGTAGAACTCCGTTGATGTAGCCAAGTGAAGTGGAAGTCTTCAAGTGTGTACCTCGGAGATGTGCGTATTTACCCTAAAAAGAGAAATTTGGAAGTATTAATGTCAAAGTCAAAGTCAAAGTCAAAGCATTTATTTCAATTAAAACATAATTTGGTACTTTTGAAATGTCAAAAAATACAAAATAAATAATAGTCTGTCAGTCAGTTCGTCAGTAAAGCTAGGTGCTCATTCCAAAATGTAGATTCGAATGGAGAACAACGAGCAAGAAACTCCATTCGTTATTCTTTTTAAAAAAGTATGTTCTACAATGTCTCTGATACATATTCCAATATGTGAGAACAATGTGTGAGTATATGTGAGAACAATGCAAAGACACGCTTGACACATTATAGGTACTAGTTACAAACCTTACTAAAAATAAAGAAATCTCATAGTCTAACATGGTGCTCACATATGGATACTGACAATCCATAAAAATAGTGCTTCTATACAAGAAAAAAGAATGAATAGAAGAGAGAAGAAACTATTTCGGTTTTTATGCAAGTGTAGTATGGTGCAGACTTTATAGTCTGCAACAAACAACAAACAACAAACAAGCCCGTCTTTATAGACGGGCTTGTTTTTTTATTCGATAAAATCGAATATAGAGATACAGTTACAGATTTCTATTGTTATCGGGTTTTATATTTTTTTGTTATTTAGAGAGGTAGTCCACCGCAATAGAATATAGGGAAGGCGATCTCGGGTTTATGTCCCGGGTCATGTAAAGTGTTATTAATCACTTGGTATATCGTACTGGAAATCCTTGAAATTTGTACATATAAAAGTAGTCTCTAAACATTGGAAATAAGGTATATAAGGGAGTGAGCGGTCACCGGAATTTTTATTTTATCAGAATGAACTGATTTTGTAAAAGAACCTCTTTTACATTGCTTAAACATGGGGATGCTTTTAATTTACTTCTACCTAACCTTTTAAATAATTAAGTGCGCTAACTTACATGATAAAAACACTAAAATCCACTTACATCCTGAAGATTCATGATGGTATGCCCTACATCATCAGCGACATTATTGAAGAAGGTCAACATGGATGTCCTGATGAACTCGGGGCAGTTCTTCACCAGAGACTTGGCGTCGATGCCTTTGACCAGCACTTGGAGACAACGGACGGTGATGCGGACATCAGGACCGAAAGCTGCGAGTCTGTGTACCAAAAATACGATTATTTAACATAACATAACATCACGCCTTTTATCCCCGAAGGGGTAGGCAGAGGCGCACATTACGGCACTTAATGCCACTGTACAATGTAACACCACCACTTTTCACTATTTATGTTATGAGTCCCATGTAATAGGGGATGAGCCTATTGCCATATACCGGGCACAATTCCAGACTCCGTGCTACTATTGAGAATTTTTAAAAACACAGTAATACTTTGCCCAACCCGGGAATCGAACCCGAGACCCCTTTCCTGGCAATAGAACTTGCGATCACTCGGCCAACGAGGCAGTCCAAAATAAGATAAAAAGAAAATATACTAACCTAGATCTAAGTAAACTGGCCAGTTTACAGAATAGGGCTGCAACCATCTCTTTCTCCTTTAAACTGGCAGCACCCACATTGTTGGTAGCAGTAGCTACTGCTATGAAGTAGTTTCTATGCGTTGAGAAGTACTTCTCCATCAGAGGCAGCACCACCTGTAGGAATATGAACCTTGTTATAAAGTTCTACAGTGTATTTTTGCTTGGTCAGTGGTTAAAGCTTTGTCCAGATTTTGTTCCTCAGCTATTAATTGGGTACTTTCCTTAATTAAAAAGAAATTATTTCTAACAAATTATTTAAAATCCAATCACAATTTCTTTAATTGATTATATGACTAACTTAATTCTAGTATTCCTTCAGCAAATTTTTCAGAAATAAGTATGCTGTTTGACGCTAAAAAAACGTGACGTCACAATACACAATTTTGTACATTGAATTTGACTAGTTGGCAAATACCCAATTACTCATTACGTAGGTGCAATCAATTACTGTGTAAAAGAAAGCTATCAGCAGATGGTTAGAACTGATTGTGTGGAAATTGTATAGCATTTGTTAAAAGTGATATGTACTGCTTTCTTTTTTTTAAGCCTCAACCGTAATCGAAGATAAAATACTTAAATGGTGATCAATAGAGCTTATTATGTTATCGTGTATCGGCTTTTTGATTTTAAAATTAACAGTTTTACAGAGTCCAATAAATCCTAGCTTCATTATGAGAAAAATAATATGGTAGTACTAGTTTTGTCTTCTATACACATTTTCATTAAAAACTATTCGACTACAGGACAACGTCAACATGCTTTATTCTATTTTTCAAATGACGGAAAAAAGATAATTTAATTTTTTTATTCGTTCATTCAATCCTTTATTCAATCATTTAGTTGTTCAATCATTCCTTCATTCAATCATTCCTTCATTCAAACATTCCTTCATTCAGTTGTTCATTCATTCGATGTTTTTTTGTAATTTTGCTCCGCACTAGGATTTTTACCTGTGTCGTGGGTTTATTTCATACATACATTTCACATATACATGACATCTAGATCCGGAACAACAATTTGTGTGGAACACACAAAGAGTTGTACCGTGCGGGAATCAAACCCGCGACACGTTGCACGGCAGCCAGTTACTCAGCCGCCGCATTAACTGTGCAATCGACATTATTATGTACATGTACAATACATTCATAATTCAATACATAATGGTATATGCAAGCAGCCAATATGCAGCGCATTTTCTATATCATTTCAAGACTTCTGCCGAGCAAAAATAACCTTTATGTCAGTGCAAAAGAATACAAAATAAAATGCACATGAAATCTGGGCGTGGTCACGTTCTAAAACATGTATGTACCTTCTTGAAGTACTTTAGTTCCGACTTGTGTTGCTTGGAAATTAATACACATTATTATTTAAAGTATTAATATCTATATACAAACTTGAAAGGTTATAAAAATACCTGTACATCAATTTTATTAGACAAAGTGATTATAGGTTAGATTAGAATGATTTAGATTTTCCACTACAATATACCAAAATAAGATTTTTTTTTCTAAGAATGTCTATTTAAAATCTAGACTTTAGATTTAAACATTTTATTATCTAATAATTGTTAAGTTAAAGAGTAAAAAAAACAGTCAAAAACTATTTGTCTACAAATTAAGTTTCAGATTTAAAGATTGAGTTGATTATTATACAAATTACTGATTCAAAGATTTTTACTATAACGAGAACAGGAGATAGATTAAAACGTATAATTTGGATAACATGAACAAACAAAAATCAACCTTACTCACCTTAGAAAAGAACTTAATATCCCTCGTACTAGTTTTAAAACTAGTTCTCCTACTGAAAGTAGTAGAAGGTTTCAAGAGCTTCATATTGATGGTCGCTCTATCTATATACTGTATCAACTTCTCCAGTAACGAGTATGCGAATCTGAGCTCTATTGCTACGCCCGTAGTGGTCTGTTCCGTATCACTCTGTGGTGCCTTGCTTGGCCTGTGTAGTTTGTAACCCTGGTATTGTAAATATTTGAGGAACTCTTGCGATCTCTCTCTGTCCTTCTTCTTCTCTTTGTCTGTTAAGAGATCATAGGGTACGAGTTGTGGGTGGATACCTCCTGTGGACAAAAAGAGAAAAAAAATATATGAGAAATATGTTGCTTATGGGCAGATGAGCTCCATCGTAAGCTTCATCATCGCTTACTACCAGGCGAGATAGCGGCCAAACGTCAGTCCGTCCAATATTAAAAAAAAATATCAAATAGCTATTTATTGCTAATAGGCATTGATTAAATGTGTAGACGATACCTATTTTTTTCGTTTTTACGTTTACACAATATAGAGCTCATTACGGTGGCCGTAGTATGTAGGAGTTGACCATGTTGACTTCACAAATACTGTTTAATACCTATTTCGAATTTGTAAGGAAATATAATAGGAAAGAGTTAAGAATCTGGGTTCCTTACCTCCATTAGTAACAAGCTCTTCTTTCTTCTTCTTAGCCCAGATATCGTGGGCATTATCAGCCAGTCTTTCTGCCATATTCTGCATCTCTCTTGATAGCGTCAAGTTGGTCATGTCTACTGGGTGCGGGTTGTAGTTGAAGGGAGTTGCTGAGTCCGTCTGCAGAATGGAATGATGTGAGAATGTGGTTGAGAAGGTATGGTTTATTATTATTATGTTTTAAACTATAAATATACATATTTACAACGATACGTATACTGTATAGCAACTTTAGTCTCTGGTAAGAAACATGGCAAGAATAAGTCAAGGCAAAATCCAGAATCGATTAAAATATATGTATAGTAAAATAGAGTAACTATAGTAGGTACCTATGAATATCCCAGCGCATTATGAAATACATAATGCGCTGGGATATACATATACCTACTAGTCCCCCAGCACGAGTAAATTTTGCTCTGTTTTATGCCGGATACTAAACCTTATACATGAATTTAGCTTACATAGAAGCATTTTGTAGTAGATATGTTTTATATATCGGTAATTTAGTATATAACTATCTATTCTATTTCTCTATATACAATAGATATATAATGTATTAATGTTAGTAAGTGCATAGGTGCGGAAAATGAAGAGTAGTAGCAGTGAAGTAAGCAAGAAACAGAAGTATTTGAAGACTTATAATTAAATAACTAAGTTTGCTTTAGAAGTCGGTTCTGTCTTGTAGTCATAATTATACCTAGCTAAGTAGTGTTTATAGAAATATTGACCTGACAAGAGTTAGAAACTTTTTATGTCAGATAATATAAGAAAAGAACAATACACAAAATAAAATATAATTATATATAAATAGGAAAGAAATATCTGAATATTATAAAATAACTAATGAGTTTTACTTTTAATGATATTATTTTGTAACTATCTAATCTAGTATTTACATATATCTATTGCTACTAAATTTTATCCTAATAATAATAATATATATAAAAGTCAAAATTAAAATCATTTATTTCAATTAGACCAGGAGTAACTTTCGAACGTCAAAACAAAATATTAAAATATTTAAAAAAAATATCGTCTGTCGGTCAGTCCTCTAGTGAAGCCATTTACTCGTTCTAAATTGTAGATTCCAATACAAAATTATGTTTGTATCTACACATAACGTTATAATATCAGAATATGCTAAGTACTTATATAATATAATAATATCAGACATTAAATATATTTAATTGAAATACTAAGCCAATTTTCTAAACTAAAACTACACTAAATCTAATCTACTCTAACTAAACTAAAAAAACTTGATATCCTTATATAAAAATTAGTACTAAAACTCACCACAATATCGGGAGGGCGCTGTGCGTTGCGGGGATATGAAAATAACATACAATTTAGGTGGGTGAAAAAAGCAACGTGAAATGTACAAGGTCATTCATTCACTCATTCGTTCATTGAACTAGTAGATTGTACAAGTGTGCAGTGGAATTCAATCTGTCAAAATTCATTGGGTTTTCGACTTTATGTCAATATAATAAAGTTGAAGATGTGGTAGAGAAATTTGACTGAAAAGGATAGGTTGACCTGCACCGTACAAATATGGGTATACCGTTCAATAGTTCGTTTAGTTCATTCAGTTTCGTTCATTGAACAAATGAGTGATTCTTGCAAGGTTGTGCAATTTAATAAAATTATTTAACTTTTGTTGTGATAAAATGCATTTTTCCATTTCGATTTTTCCCTTTTAATAAGATTATGTATCTGAGTTTTTTATTAGTAATCCGAAGGTGCTTGGCCGCTATCTCGCCTAGCGCCGTTGCAGCCTCCGATGGCGCTTGCTCATAAGAAAGCTATTCATTCGAGATTTGCAGACACCTAGGTTTTAACATTGAATTATAATTAAAATTTAATTTGGCAATCGTATTTTAATTTCCGAATCTTTGAAGCAAGAAGTCAACCAATTTAATTATCAAAATCTCTTTACCTTCATTGGTTTGACTTTTCAGTAGAAAGTATTTAAACTGTCAAACACCGCGAGGACACCGGTGACCGCAACCTATTGTTCTATAATTGTGTCTATAATGACGATACTTAAAGGGTTAAAAATGGAAAAATGCTAACCATGCCAATCAATAAGTGCGTAAAAACAATTTTGTGCTTATAAATAGATTTTTCTTTATTAATAGTACAATGTAAAGCGTAGGTATACCGTTGTTTCCTTGGGTTTATTGTCCTTTGGGATGCATGCGCAATAACAATATCAATATATTCATATTTATAATAATATACAAAATATTTTATGAATACAGAAGAAGTTAAAATTCAATAAATAACCTATTTCGTCCAGTTTTTCCTGAGTTTGGCGCTTACACCACATTTAGATTGTCATACAGATGAGATTACTGGAGGAAATATCTCTTCCTCCCTTTAAAGTTGGCCACGAAATAATAACTCCTCTGGTGTCGCGGGTACCAATTGTTAGCATAGCTTGCTTATTGCTTACTATCAGGTAACGCGTCCGTTTGTTTATCGCTCCATAAAAATATTGTCTATGTCGTTACTATGTAACATAAAAGCTTAGATTAAGTACATATATGTGAACAAAATGGAAATAAATATATTTGTTTGTTGTTTTTTTATGTTAGATATATCTACCTACCCGAAATAATGATTTCAATAGAATTTCAACCTTATATCAAACCAATAAAACTTATAATCATACTACTATATACAACTTACGCCTCCCGATTTGGATTGCCTTCTCATGGAACTGCGGTTGGTGCTTGGTATGTCCACTTCTGAATGTTCCACTGACCATCCGATGGCTAGAAGGGCTTTCAAAGATTCACGAACTGGTTCCTTGTAACGCTCCTTTTCCTGTATTTACCACAGAAGATAAACATAAAAACTTGTTGAATTGATACTACTCATACTCATGAATATGAGTCCCGGTGTGACTTGAAATTAGTAGAGCTACACTCAAAAAGGTCACGTGTGAAATTTTAATTTAATTATTCTTGAATTGTGTGTGTGTGTGTGTGTGATACCACGGCCTCACAGAAAACCGACGTGAAGCAACGCTTGCATTGTGTTTCGTCGTGTGAGTGAGGTTACCGGAGGCCCAATTACCTTCCCCTTCCCCAATTTCCCCAATCCCTGAATCCCCAACGATCCTCAAACTCCTAATCCCCAAAAAGCCGGTGACGCACTTGTAACGCCTCTGGTGTTCCAGGTGTCCATGGGCGACGCCGATTGCTTACCATCAGGTGATCCGTCTGCTCGTTTACCGGCTTATGGCATAAAAAAAAAAAAAAAAAAAAAAAAAAAAATTACTTATTAACCTTTAAGTTAGGCAAAGTGATAAGAAGGTTTGATTTATTTTTATTTAACACTTTATACAACTATAAAATGGTGGGCTTAATGCCGGATGGCATTTTATAGAAATTAAAAATGTAAATAATAATGCAGTTTAGTATTTGGCCATACTCATTTAAACATTTTCTTTGTAGAATTTTTTACTGTACAAAAATTAATTTGCTGATAATTAAAATTTGAGCGATTCAACTGCACAATCAATGGGGGCTATTATGTTTATTTGCTGAACAGATGGCGGAAATGTAGAAAGTGATTGTTTTTTTCCAATCACAGCAGCTGTCAAACATTGAACGTCCAATGGTGTCACACTAGCTAATTCCCTATTGGATGAAGAACGCTCTCGTTCGAACGAAGAACGAGAGCGTTCTTCCTCCAATGGTCACACTAGGGTCTTTCGGTGAGCAAAAATACGGTAGGAACCATTGTCGAAGCTTTTTAATATAACAATAAAAATGCAACTCTACTCACATAGTCATTAAGCATATTATACGGTTTCAGTCGTGGATGCGTCTTCTGGCTATCAGACCATCCTTCTCCGTAGACCCATCCGTTCTCGATCTTCCTAGAAGCCCAGGCATCGTGGTAATGTTCTGAGAACTTCTGGACTATTGTGTTTAAGTCATTGTTGAGGGCTACTGATGATGTGTTGATCGGCTGAGGGTCGTATTGAGGATTGTCTAGGTCACCTGGAATTTGAATTTCATATTAAAGTTTTTTTCTTCTATGTATTAATATATTAAAAAGGTCGCCTAGCTTCATTGACAATTCTACTGATGGACAATAGGGTAGTTTCCAGGGTAAGAAAATTAAAAATCTAATTAGTCCGTCAGTTAGATAATAAAAAAATATTAGATACGTATTTTTTCATTTTCTCGTATAAAGTTACAATGCTTAAACAAAATGGAGTTAAGTTTAGGAGTGGGTCGTGACGTCACAACGTGCTACAAAATGTGGCACGCTGTGACGTCACACGACATTTCAAATCAATATATCGTCGAAAGCATTTAATATTTTGAAAAAGGAAAAATACGTGTCTAATGTTTTAAAATAATCTACCAGACAGATATTAAAATTTTAGGAAACTACCCTATTCAATTATGACGTTTCGAAAGCGCTTATTAGTGGTATGATTGTAGTAAATGAAAGTGATTTTGGCTTTGAGAATGTAGTTAATTCGGTTTTGGTTAAATTGCTGCCGGTAATTGTCGATTTCATGCAGAAATACTGAAAGGCCACTCAATTTTAAGTGGTATTTAAATATCATGCCATCTCTGTCATTTTAGAGGTACAAACAATTTGTAGTGACAGAACTATAGTTAGACGCGACTTAAAATTGCCTTTAAATTTATAGAAATCTAAAAATACTTCTAAAATCTCAGCAGTAAGTTGAGTAAGAAGACTTAAAAATATAGTTTTTTTTTTAATTTAGATCTTTTTTTTAATAATAAGCATTACACCACACTAGGTTTTTCTCCTGTGTCGTTGGTGCGTTGACAAACATATAATTTCACATACACATGCCACCCAGCCCCGAAACAACCATCTGTGGATCATACAAAGAGTTGTTCCGTGCAGGAATCGAACCCGCGACACGTTGCGCGGCAGCCGGTTGCCCAGCCACCGCACCACCCGTGCAGTCGATCTCTTAATAAGGTTTCCGATTAAAAACTATAACTTATACTCACCAGCTACTTGTTCTTTGCCGTAGAATTCATCGTCATAGTTCTTGGAAAGCGAATAATCGGGTGGTAAAGCGCATCCTGAAAATAAAAATAATAATACTTTTTGTAGGAAACACAATATTTTGGGAATATAGATTTTGTTTATAGAGACATAATTATAAAATATCTATAAGTATTTTATTATGAACTTATTTATGGAACAATACTTAAACTCCTAATCCCCAAAAGGTCGGTAACGCACTTATAACGCCTCTGGTGTTCCAGGTGTCCATGAGCGACGCCGATTGCTTACCATCAGGTGATCCGTCTGCTCGTATTTCAGAAAATTATTCTTAAGTTTATCGATTGTCGCTCGAAACAGTAATGTATTATGGACATTACCTCTAAACTGTCAAACACCGCGCGGTCACCGGTGACTGCGACCTATTGTTCTTTAATTGTGTCTATAATGACGATACTCGTCGAGTTAATCAAAATTACGACGTAAATATACACACCAATAGCAATCAAACATGGCAACGCCTTCCCAAAGAGTTCAGGCTCATAGTCCATCTTGCTGAGGGAATCGAAGATGTTTGAGAATAGCATCATGGTGAGCCTCTTCTCCTCGTCTGATGATGCTCCGTACACGCCTTGGCCGGCTCCTGTACTACCGTAGTACTTGGCACAACGCTCGTAGTGAAGGGTTAGAAGCTGAAAGAGAAAGAGTTGAGTTTTTGCTAGTTATGAGCTCCGGTTTTGGTTGAAATTAGTTGAGCGTGTTTGATTGTTGAAGTATTTTAATAATTGTAGTTGATTTGTCTCCAAATTTGTATTATTAGACTCCACATTTGTATTACCATTCTATTTCAAAATCGTCGTATGATTGCAAACATGCCAAACAAGAGGTCTTGAGTTTGATTCTTAGATCAGACTTTTTTATTTTATCATATTTGGTAAATTCTGGAACTGAGTCTGTATTTCTATATAAAGTAATTTAAAAAAATCGATTTTAAGAGTTTAACATCATACCTCAAGATATACGACACCTACACGACTATAGTCTACTTTAGAAAAAAATATTATTTTAAGCAAATATAGTCATTATACCACTCACCCTAAGAGCGACAGTCGTGTACTCCGACAGCTTGGACACATCCACTGTCAGTTTCCTCAATAGTTTCAACAACATAGAAGGCTGCATGGCCGATGTTAGGGCGACTAGGAAGTCTGACACCGCCTCACGCTGACCCTTGGTTAACATGCGGTTCTTTGATAACCTGGTGAGGAAAATTATATTCTATGTTAAAGAGGATAAGGTTAAAAATTATATGGCTTAGGTTTTTCTTGGTGTTCTATGAAGTTCAGCTTTATATCTGAGCCTAGATGGGTTATGAGCTGGGATGGGGTGGTCGGGCTGGATGAGCAAAAAAAAATTATGTTTTTGTAAAGTAATCTTCGTTTTGGAACAAATAATGCGTGGCACGTGTCATTTTAAATGACAGAGATGGCACGATATTAAACTGTCAAACACCAAGCGGTCACCGGTGACCGCAACCTATTGTTCTATAATTGTGTCTATAATGACGGTACTCGACAAGTTAAGTACAGCATAAATTGAATAGCCTTCAGCATATAGGCGTAATCATTTTACAAAAAAATTGTAGTGAGAGACCTACACTTAAGCGCTTATTGAATTTGAGCGTTTCAGTATTTAGACAATAACAAAATGGTATCACAAAGAAGTGAGTTTTACTTTTTAATCTACGAGACAGAAATTAAAATAATATTTAGGAAAGTTCTCTATTGTAACCCTTTTAGTATTGTGAGTTTCTATGGGTGGCGCCGATTGCTTACCATCAGGTGATTCAACTGTGCGTTGGTCAAAAAATACGTCTTAAAAGAAGTATACCCGCGGATAGAGCAGGGGTGGTGACTGAAAGTAGTCTATTTTAGGACTTCCGCGTTGGCCGAGTGGTCGTAAGTGCGACTGCCGGGCAAAGTATTACTGGGTTTTTAAATATTCTCAGTAGTAGTACGGAGTCTGGAATTGTGCCCGGTATATGGCAATAGGGTCACCCCCTATTTCATGGGACTCATGACATAAATAGTGAAAAGTGGGTGTTCATTGTACAGTGGTATAATGTGCACCTCTGCCTACCCCGTCGGGGATAAAAGGCATGATGTTATGTTATATTAAGTTACCTATAAACAGTATGTAGCGTGGCGTCCAGGAGACTGGCGTAGTTCTCGGCCTCGTTGTAGAAGTAGGCGTGTTTGATCAGTAGAGGCAGGATGGAGTTCCCGATGTAGCGGTTCATCGAGAGAGCCATGTCGGACTCGCAACCGTCGTTCTGGTGACGTAAAAAGTATTTCATGATTTATATGGAAAATAGAATAGTTTTCAAATCAAATCATTTATTTGCATAAAATGTAGGTAATTACAAATAGGTTGTTACAGATATAATATAGTAGCCGTATACATTTTGCCCGTTTATTGGCATGCAAAATATGGTGAAAAAGCTGTCAGATTCAATATAATAGCAAGCAATAATTAAGGTTCATTATTCAAGTTCATAAAATTCAATACAAACAATAATAACAATGTCAAGAAATACATAATGTTAAAATAATGTCAAGAAATACATAATGTTAAAATAATGTCAAGAAATATATAGTGTTAAAATTTATCAATTAGAAAGTCTGTTGTTGAATAATAACATTTGTCAATGAGAACTTTCCGTACAGTCGGTTTAAATTGATTTAAATTCAGTGATTTTACATTGTCTGGTAACTTATTACATACATACATACATAACTTCACGCCTGTCTCCCATGGGGGTAGGCAGAGACTAAGGAACGCCACTTACTACGATTCTTACATACCTCTTTCGCTTCATTAACAGTCATCAATCTTTTCATGCATGCTCGTCGGTTAAGGGTACTTTTAATTTGGCCCTTCTTTAATATATCGCCAATCTGGTCACTATATGTCCGTCTAGGGCGCCCTCTACCGACGGCCCCATTCATATCCGCTCTGTATACTTCCTTCGTTACTCTACTTTCATCCATCCTTTCTACATGTCCAAACCAGCGTAACATTCCCTTTTCAATCCTTGTCACTACATCATCTTTCAATCCACACCTTTCTCTAATAACACTATTTTTCACTCGATCACTCAATTTTAGTCCACACATACTTCTTAGGGCTCTCATTTCCACCGCATTAATCCTGCTTTCATGCTTCTTCTGCCACACCCATGATTCACTACCATACATAAGCGTTGGTGTCAATACACACTGCATTACAGCAAGTCGAGCTTTGCTGGATATTATTTTACTCGACATGACAGAGTGTAAAGCACCATTAACACTATTTCCCGCTTTCACTCTCCTTTCAATATCCCCGTCACACTTTCCATCTCTCGTAAATAGTGATCCCAGATACACAAATTCATTCACTTGTTCCAATTTTTCATCACCTATCATTACCTGACATTCTGTTATCACCTCATTTCTTTCTATCACCAACACTTTCGTCTTGTTCACATTTACTTTCATACCTTTCCTTTCAAATGCATCATTCATAGCAGTGATCATTTGTTGTAATTCTTGGGCCGACGAGGCAACAAGCACCTGGTCGTCGGCATACAACAATGTTTTAATCACTGTGTCATTCATCCTTAATCCAGACTCTCCTACTTTCAGGTCGTTCAAACAGCTGTCCATAAATAGGTTGAACAGCCAAAGAGATGCTACACAGCCTTGCCTAACAACTCGATTAATTTTAAACCACTCTGTGTAGTCCCCATTTATTCAGACAACGGCACTCGAGTCCTTATATAAGGATTTAAGTACCCGAATCAGGTGGCTATCCACCCCATACATGGACAGAGTTGACCACAATTCATCCCTCACCACTCTGTCATAAGCCTTTTCTAGGTCTATAAAGGCACAAAATACCTTTTGGTGCTTTGATAACACTTTCTCTGAAATGAACCGTAACGAAAAGACTTGATCCGTACATTTCTTGATCCCATTCCCTTTCGAAATCCCGCTTGCACATCCCAGATTTTACGCTCAGTTACATCCATCACTCTTTCGATCAATACCTTGGCATACAACTTTCCTACTACGCTTAGGAGGCTTATACCGCGATAATTTTTGCACTCCTGCTGTGATCCTTTTCCTTTATACAGTGGCACAATTACGGCCTTGGCCCAGACTCCAGGGACACGACCGCACCGCCAATACTTATTAAAAATTAGATACACCAGGCTTGCAATTACACCTCCACCCTCTGTTAGCATTTCAGTAGTTATCCTATCACATCCCGCTGCTTTACCTACTTTCAAACTCTTAATGGCACTCACAATTTCATCCATATTTATTTCTCCCACATTAGCACTTTCATTTTCATCGTTTACTTCCTCTTCTTTCAAATCACTCCTTTCAAATAAATTCTCGAAGTATTCCTTCCACTGCTTTAAAACATCCTTACTTTCTTCAATGACACTCATTTATATCCCTTATCGTACTTACTTTCGAGTCCCCCACTTTGCCTCTGGCCTTTCTAACTAAATGCCAGAATAGTTTAGCGTTGGCTCGAAAGTTCCGCGAAAAATTCCTTTCAAACTTTTCCTTGCATTCATTTTTCTTCTTGTTAACTACCGCTTTTGCTCTCTTTTTGAGACTAATGTACTTTTCTATCATACTTTCTAGCACTCTTCTATTTGCCTTTGAGGCTAATAAGTCGAGCCATGCTTTCTTCTTTTGCTCTATCACCTCTTTTACTTCATCATCCCACCATTCATTCCTCTTGCTTCCAGTGTTATTTTTCTTGCTTACCCCACATACTTGAGTAGCTACTGCGATCACTCCATCCTTAAATTCCTTCCAAAATTCTTCTATATTCCTTTCGTAACCTTTCATTAGCTCCCTAAACCTTTCATTTAATAGTTTCCTGTACTGGTCCCTAGCTGCCTCTTCTCTCAACCGTTCAACTCTCACTCTCTCGGTTCCAAGCAACCTTACCCGTGGCCGATGTCTCCACTTCATTGCCAGTCCAGCTATTCTAGTAATTACTAGGAAGTGGTCGCTTCCGACATTCGTGCCACGGTAAACCCTTGTATCCTTCAGTTTTGTCCTCAGGCGTTCATCAACAATCACAAAATCAATCGTACTTCTTTCTGTATGCCTCTGCCATGTATACATATGTATCTTCTTGTGACCAAATGTTGTGTTGGTCACAAAAAGTTCCTTTTCTACACATATATCCAGAAGACATACACCATTCTCGTTCACTCGTTCGTCTCCAAATCGCCCTAATACTCTATCGTACCCATCGCGTGCCACTCCAACCCAACCATTAAAATATCCAAGCATAATTATTCTTTCATTAACTTTACATTCATTAAGAACATCTCTCAAGTTATCCCAGAATACTTCCCTCACCCCAATTGGCTTTGAAATGTCCGGGGCATAAGCACAGATTACAATAACTTATTATATACTTTATTATAATTTATATACAATGTAATAATTTGTTTTAGCAACGGTAGTTTCTTTTTCTCATTTAGAAAATAATTCTGTGCTTAATAAATTTAACTTTCAAAATATTTGGTTGAGATAAAACACTGGGTATTGACAATTATAAAAAGCTACTGCTTTTCATAATTTATGTGAAATTCAAATTTAATTCAATCAATCAAATAAACAAAATCAAATTATGAATCACATATAAAGAAATTATATTGTACAGGATTAAATTATGTCATTGTTAAAAGACTAAGTAAAATACCACTTACCCTATCCAGCATGGTAGCCGCCCTGAGGTCAGGTAGGAACGCTTCCTCCAACAACTTGTAGAACAGTTCCTGGGTCTCTATGCCGTACACTCGCTCCAGGAACAGACCCACGCTCTGCTTGTGGCCGGGGATCAGCCCTGACGGCATGTCTGGAACATAGAGGATTGTTTTTAAAAGAGTTATCTAAGTCATTGGGACCACAACAATAAAACCATCATCATCATATCAGCCACAGGACGTACACTGCTGAACATAGGCCTCCCCCAATGACTCCCAGATAGTAAAATAATGTCTTGAAAATTGTAATTAACATAACATCACGCATAATTATCCTCGAAGGGGTAGGCAGACGTGCACATTATACCTCTGTACAATGTTACACCCACTTTTCACTATTTATGTTATGAGTCCCATGTAATAGGGGGTGAGCCTATTACCATATACCGGGGAGAATTCCAGACTCCGTTCTACCACTGAGAATATTAAAAAACCCAGTAATACTTTGCCCGACCCGGGAATCGAACCCGTGACCCTTTGCCCGGCAGTCGCACTTATGACCACTCGGCCAACGAGGCAGTCTTTGTATTTCTAGCTACAAATTTCAAAAATTTGGACATTCCGACATTCTCATCCCCGCAGCTCACTTGTTAACTAAATGTTTAAAAAAATCAGAAGAATTTTGGGAAATAAATGTAAACGAGATATATAGTAACACTCGTGATAATTGGAAGGATCATGGAGTAGCCAGAAATTATCTTTCCGGAATAGTCATTGTCAGCCAAATCTTGTAGATTTAACTCTGTATTCACTTATACATATACAAGGTGCCATATAAATATATGTCACGGCTTTAATGGGAGTTAGTATTGTGTTTGAAGATTATAATAGTACGTATTAATTATTGCTTATGAGTCATATATTTTTTATAAAAAAAATCTACTTATTAATTCGTAATGATTTATTGACATAAAACCATCCCGTGTTGCCGCACTGCATCATATTCACTCAATTGGCAAAACGCGGGCGCTGCCCCGTCATATACTGTTGCCATTTTTATCGAGATAATGGCAGATTGAAAGAAGAAGAGAAAGAAGAATGGACGTGTTCGAGAACGAGACAGCTCGGCGCCGACACAGGCGGTGAGAAGCATGATGCACGCCCCACGACCAGAACTCGTCGCCCGCCCGTCTCGACCCTTTCATTGAACCCTCCATACATCATCATCATCATCAACAGCCTATAAATGCCCACTGCTGAGCAAAGCCTCTTCTCACACGGAGAAGGTTAGAGCATTAATCACCACGCTTGCTCAATGCGGGTTGGCGATTACAAACTTATAATTAGAAATTATAAGTTCAGGTTTCCTCACGATGTTTTTCCTTCACCGTTTGTCAGTGGTGTCTAAATAATCTTAGAAAGTACATATAACTCGGAAAAAGTCACATTGGTACTTGCCGTTGGTAGGTTTCGAACCCGCACCCTCATGCATGAGAAGTGGGCGTCTTAAACCTCCGGGCCACCACGACAACCCTCCATACGCAGAATACCAATTGCTACAATTATTCTTACATAGCTCTTTCAATTCATCAACAGCCATTTGTCTTTTGATGTCAATACAGCACTATAAAAAAATAATATACCTGTATATAGCCCTCCTATAAGTAAATGCTTGTATTATATTTACCAGACTTAGGTCTCTCCTCTCCTGCAGCGGGGTTGTTGAGCGTGAACCTCAGACTCAGCACTCCCTGCAGGTCCTCCAGGGGCACCAAGGAACGGAGGATGGCGCGGGCTCGGAGGGACTCGTTTTTGCCCTTTGAAGGAAATAAATAAATTATAAACTTCTAAGATGATATCATATAAAAAAAATATGTAGATAATTAGTTCAGGAGGCATAATCCCCGAATCCTCCACAATCCTTAAATTCTCAATTCCTAAAAGGCCGGTAACGCACTTGTAACGTCTCCGGTGTTCCATGGGCGACGCCGATTGCTTACCATCAGGTGATCCATCTGCTCGTTTGCCGGTTTATCCCATAAAAAAGATAATAAGTAATACAAACATTATGTTGGACCATTAACAAGCGTGATCCCAAGTCAAATATTAGAACAGCAAAAAAAAATGTTACAATATCTGATCAAGACATAATACACATATTTCGAAGAATTTTCTATGAAAAATATGTCAAATTATGTGTCAGTTAAACTAATAGAAACTTCATTATTTTCAATTCAATAAAAACTATGACGAAAACTTCATCAAAAATCTACATAATTATTTTTAAGTATTACAAACACGACTAAATAATCTCAAAAATTTCTCCACTAACAACAACCAATAATGCATCCTATATAAACATAGACAATAACGTTCAAAACACACTCACCAGTGCAATAACCCCTGCATCAGGCGCGCACCGTCCCAGCAAGTCCACTAGAGTACAGTAGAAGTTAAGTATGGCGGCGCCAGTGTCGATGTAGTCCTCGTCCTCGTCGGACTCGGGGAGCGGGTGACTGAACTGGGGGGAGGAAAGTGAATTATTATTATTCGATTCAAAGTCAAATTCAAAATAATATATTTCAATTAGACCAGGAAGGCACTTTTGACTGTCATAACAACAAAATGTTTTTATAATAACTATCGTGAGACATACTAAAGTAACTAAAAATCGTCAGTTACTCACGCGAATATACTGAGAAAAGCTCTACTAGTTTCGAACCACAGAGGGGTTCTTCCTCGTGAGCAGCGGGCGCGGTCGCTATATTCACGTGAGTAACACGTGATTTTTAGTTTATCATAACAAGAAACGTTAAAAAAAATGTCCGTTTGAAGCTATAAGCTCGTTCCAAGGTGTAGATTCCTATGGAGAAGAACGAGCAAGAAACTCCATAAGTTACTCTTTTTCATTCAGGTTCACAATGTACAATTCTTGTGTGCGTTACATTATATAAAGTGTAAAGTGGGTGTTACATTGTATTGTGGCCAAGTACCGTAATGTGCAATGTTACGTTACATCGATTCTTAGTATGAAAAATGTATTTTATCTAAATTGGTGTACTCACATTAATATCCCCTTCTTGCTCCATCTCCCTCAGTTTCCTCCTGTCTGCGATCCTCTCACTCATTTTATTAGCGTCTACGATGGCCTTCAGTAGACCCTCACCCTCTCCTCTGAGGGCGGGACCCAAGCACTCTGGACGACGGATCAGAAGACGGATCACTAAGTTCGCGTTCTCTTCTACGCTTTCACCGTTAACCTAAGTGATAAAATAAAAATATAGAAATGTAAGTAATAAATAATGTTTTAAATTAAGATTATTATTTTTTTCACTGCAGAAGAAGAAATTTTGCATCTATTGTGTGTAGATAGTCAAGAAAATTTTTAAACATATTTTTGTTTTTTTTTTATACTTTAATAGGTCGACGTTTGGCCACCATCTCGCCTGGAATTTTGCGTGTATATTTATGTAGCGATTTCGATACGAAAAAGAGGTTTTTGAGTGTATCTATTACGAAAGCAAAAATTTGTGAGAATGTTTATTTATTACTCTTTAAAACAAAAACCACTCACTTATTTAGGATTTAGATGAAACTAAGCCAATATAGATTTATACATATTAAAGTCTGCAACGACTGCCTCATTGGTTGAGTGCTCGCAGGTGCGACTCGGGCAAGGTATCTCGGGTTCGATTCCCGGGTCGTGCAAGAATTAATGCGTTTTTTAAAAAAAAATCTCAGCACGGAGTCTGAAATTGTGCCCGAAATATGACAATAGGATTTTTTATAATATTCGATGGGCCGACCGTTTGACCACTGTCTCGACTGCTGGTAAGCGATGATGCGGTCTACGATGGAGCACGAGGCTCACCGCCTATTACATGAGCTTCATAACTCATAAAAAGTGGGTGTTACATTGTACAGTGACATTAAGTGCCGTAATGTGCACCTCTGCCTACCTCTTCAGGGATAATAGACATAATGTTATGTTAGTCTGCGATAAAAACATGACTGAAGATTAAGGAAACGCGGACGAAGGCGACATCAGAAACTAGTTTAAACATTGTTTAAATATGAACTAAAAATATTAAGATCTTCACTCACCCAGACACAGAATCGTAGGAAGTCCAGGTAACGTTCGCCCTCGACTGGATCCCACCCAAGGTCCGGGTATCCTTTCTCGACGAGCTCCGAGTTGCTCTGTAGTCCACAGCGAGAAAGGTACACTGCTATCTTTTCTAGGTAGTGCTCCCTGGAAATTATATAAAATATAATAAAAGGTACCTACTTTAAGTTCAAAATATTGTGTTATTCAATTTTTAACCTTTTCATTCGTTACATAGGGCTTATTTTTGAATAATGTGTCAATTTTTTTTAAACCTTTCCCTTCACTATGGTTTTCTCCTGTGTCGTGGGTGCGTTTACAAACATACAAGTTCACATACACATGACACCCAGACCCGGAACAACAACCTGTGGATCACACAAACAGTTGTTACGTGCAGGAATTGAACCCGCGGCACATTGCGCGACCAGTAACCAAGCCACTGCCCCAACCGTGCAGTCTATTAAATAAGATCCTGAGACTTCGTAATTTCAAGGCTTGTTTTACAAGTGATAGGAAAAATTTTGATATATCTTCTATACGAAATGTTTGATAGTTAAGTTAACAGTAAGTTAATTAGACAGTATAATATGCCATATAATATGCCTCGTTGGCCGTGGTTGCGAGTGCGATCGGTTCACGGGTCAGACAAAGTATTACTGGGTTTTAAAAAATCTCAGTAGTGCCACGGTGTCTGGAAATGTGCCCGGTATATGTCAATAGGCTCACCCCCTATTACATGGGACTCAACATAAATAGTGGAAAGTGGGTGTTACATTGTACAATGGCATAATGTGCACCTCTGCCTACCCCTTCGGGGATAAAACGCGTGATGTTACGACGTATCATAATAAGTCAAGTTACAATAAGTCAAAACCCACCTCAAAGCCAAAGCCAGCTCAGTATTCTCCATCAAACTGGAATACGCCACGTCTAGAGGCGTGGAACCTCTCAACGAGGGTCTGGACAGCAAGATGTTGGAGTTCTCCAGCAGGAAGTCGAAGTGATCGAACATTGCCTTCTGGTTCTGTCGTCCCGTACGACAGAAGTAGCAGAGGAAACGACAACACGCTACTACCATCTCGTGGGATGTGTCCTGGGAGAATATAATTTAAATAATTATTAAACTTAAATATAAAAAAAAACAAATTCCCCACATAAGAATTTTCTTCTATGTCGTGGGTGCGTTTACAAACATACAAGTTCACATACACATGACACCTAGACACGGAACAACAATCTGGAATTGGAATTTAATTACTTTTTCTCATTCCTATAAAAAAACAAGTATAATGTTAAAGATTACCAATACCAAAATACTCCAAGGCTACTAAATTTAAAGTCGCGCTCAAGTATAGTTCTGTCACTACAAATTCTTTGTAAAATGACAGACGCGCCACAATATTTAAGTAACAGTAAAACGGGGTGAATAGAATTCGAGGGGTGAATAATGTTGGGAAAATATTCTAACATTTATTCACCCCATTCCTGTATATATTCACCCCGTTTTACGGTACAACTTGAAATTTATTTATTTTATTTTATTTATTTATTACACCCTGGAGGACTTACAGCTAAAACTACATAAGAGTAGAAGCCAACATAAACTACTGAAAGCCAACTACAAGTCGTCACGTATAATGACAGACTTAAATTTGATAGGTGAGCATATCAAAATTTTCAGTGGTTACAGCTTATTAAAATTAGCTCTATATTTTATTAAACCAGATAATTGTAAGGATCAACTAGAAACTAGTATTAACTAGAAACCTTTAGTTACAAGAATAAGTAAATGATAAAAATATTATAAACATTTCCGAAAACTAGGGATACAATTGAAATGCTACTTTGAGGCTTATGCGTCTTGCGCTGTGAAATGCGCCCCCTTACCTTCTCCTTGTTGTCCTCTGCGACGGGCGGCGAGGCGGGCTGCGCGTCGGACTGCGCCTGCGCGCGGCGGCCCAGCGTGTTCATCATCACCGCCATCACGTTCTCGTGCACGCGGAGCACTCTGAGGACATCACGTGGGCCGGTTATAAAATAACTAGCGACTCGCCCCGGCTTCGCACGGGTGCAATATACATGTATTATACATATAATGTATAAAGCTTCTTTAACAATCACTCTATCTATCAAAGAAAACCGCATCAAAATCTGTTGCGTAGTTTTAAAGATCTAAGCATACATAGGGACAGACAGACGGCGGATAGCGACTTTGTTTTATACTATGTAGTGATATGAAATAATTTTGAAATTACAACAATTTCAATACTTTTATTTCTTTTAAATCGGTAATAGAAGCGTTATTATCGTAAACTATTTATTTCTCACCTTATCAAGTCTGGATGTTGGAAAAACGTGTGGTTGTTGACGAGTTTCCTGTAAGCAAAAGTATGTACTGAGTACAGACACTTTATAGTGTAATATATACAATAACATATATAGTAGTAATAGTATTCGCTTTATGCCCGGTATATGGCAATAAGCTCACCCCTTATTACATAGGACTCATAAAATAAACAGTGAAAAGTGGGTGTAACATTGTACAATGGCATAATGTGCACCTCTGCCTACCCCTTCGAGGATAAAAGGCGTGATATTATGTATGTATGCTCGCTTTAAACATTTTAAACGTTTAGTTTTTTGTTTATAAAACGTTGCTCCAAACTAGGATATCCTCCTGTGTCGTGGGTGCGTTTATAAACATACAAGTTTACAAACACATCACACCCAGACTAGAAACAACAATCTGCGGATCACGAAAAGAGTCGTTCCGTGCGGAATTCGAACCCGCGACACGGGCGACACGTTGCACGTCAGCCAGTTGCCCAACCACCGCACCAACCGTGCAGTCAATTACACATTTATTTATTTATTTATTGCACAAAATTCATACATAGAGGAATTAAACTTGTACATAACTAAATGATCATCTAGTCTAGTCTATTAGGAACATATTGTATTAATTATTATCTTATTTACTAACTACAAACTTATTATTATTAATTCCCTATATTTATTACTCCTGACCACTGACTGCCTCGTTGGTCAAGTGGTAGCAATTGCGACCCGGGCAAGGGGTCTCGGGTTCGATTCCCGGGTCGGGCAAAGTATTACCGGGCTTTTTCAAAAAATCTCAGTAGTAGCATGGAGTCCGAAATTGTGCCCGGTGTATGGCAATAGGCTCACCCCCTATTACATGGGACTCATAACATAAATAGTGAAAAGTGGGTGTTACATTGTACAGTGGCATTAAGTTTCATAATGTACACCTCTGCCTACCCCTTCAGGGATAAAAAGAGTGATGTTATGTTTTGTTATACTTATTAAAATTCTCAAAAAAATACAAGTTTAAATACTACTTACATAAAAAAAATAACAGTATAAAAATAGGAGTCCTAACCACCGGTAGCTTGGACTATGCTCCCGCTACTGATCGGATCTTATTTTTTTTTGGTTATAGAAGGAGTATTAAAAATGTAATTTTATAGGTTTTTAAATAAGTATTAGCTTCTGCCCGCGATTTTGTACGCGCAGTCGTTTTCTTCCGTTCCCATAGGATTTTCGGATTTTTTCTGTCGTAAGAACCTTCTCCTGACAATAACAAACACAATAAAAAAAAATCAGCCAAATCTGTCTAGCCGTTCTCAAGTTATCGCGTGACAACGGGAAACGGGTTTCATTTTTATATATACATATACATAGAAGTACAAGATTATAATCTCCTTACCAAAGCCTCTTCCGCATAAGTTCCTCTTCCTCCTGACTCATCTGTACCGGTAGAAGAGCTCGGATCTGACTGAGTCCGACCCACATCTCTGCCACGTCCAACTTGGTCTTCGCATTGATGACGTACGTCTTCTCCAGGGCACGGATCAACTCGCCCACTGCGTCGTATTGACGGACTAGGAGACTGTGGAAGAAATGTTGAAGTATTAAACTTAAGTGTGGGAGAGCCATGCTCCGGCACGAATGGGCCGGCTCGACCGGAGTGATACCACGGCCGAGCAGAATACCGACGTGAAACAACGCTTGCGTTGTGTTTTGTCGTGTAATTGAGGTTACTGGAGGCCCAATTATCCCCTCCTCCCTAGTCTCTCCAATCCCCGCATCCCCCACGATCCTCAAATTCCCAATTCCCAAAAGGCCGGTAACGACTTGAACCCCTCTGGTGTTTCAGGCGTCCATGGGCGACGACGATTGCTTACTATCAGGTGAACCGTGTGCTCGTTTACTGGCCAATTCCATGAAAAAAAAATCATCATCATAGCTTTTAGCAGTTTCCTCATGGGCTTTTTTTTAAGGGGGGAAAATCATCGAATGACTTCTCGCGCGAGGGAGGGAGTGTTCTGACACTCCCGGGGTGGATTTTAGTCAGTAAGAGTAGACTCTTACTGACTAAAGACCACCCCGTTCCTAGTCCTGCACGTCGAGCCGGAGCCCCGGTTACCCGTTAAGGACTCCGCAGCTCCGTATCGGGTTTGTTACACTTAAGAGGCGGTTCCAGTATATTAATTAACCGACTACAAAAAATTGGCGGATTGCAGTCGGTTTTTTTTAATGTATTTAATAAAAGAATTATTATTATACCACATAGGTAGGTAGTTACATAAAAGATAGAATATAATTCCAGTAGACAGAACTTACCTGAACATCTCCCTGACCAGTTTGGGAGTTTCAATCTGCGACTCCTCAGCCCAGTTGACGATGGTCTGGATTAAGACCTTACGGAACTTCTCTTCTGGGGTCTTCTTTGGTGGCTCATCGATAGCCTGGGAAAGTAGACAGATTTTTAGGGTAAGGACTTCTCGGGAGCTTAGTAGAAGTAGTAGCAGTTCGATAGTACTGTTACACATGCTAATTTCAAGCACGAAAGTATGCTTCAATAAGGATGATGATACGGTATGAAAATTAAAAATGTAATTAGTCCGTAACGTAGGCAATAAAAAAATATGAGACACGTATTTTTTTATTTTCTCGTATAATAAAATGATACTTAGATATAACGAATCAAAGTTTAGGAGTGGGGGCTAAACCGGCATTTCTACGTATAAAATGTACATAGAAGTGACGTCACGCGACATTTCAAATCAATATATCTTCGAAACTATTCGTTTCCGTAAAAAAATAAAAAATACGTGTCTAATGTTTTTAAACAATCTACCAGACGGACATTAGCTAGTAAGAGTAAGAAATGAGCGCTTCTCGCCGTTAACGATATGTTTGGCGAGGATCTTTAATTATAAGAACAAAATGTTAATCCTAAAATTGTACTCTTGTTAAATAAAAATAAATAAATAATAAATAAATAAATAAAAATTAGTCATCTACCCAATTGAGCACTCGTCACTTAGTAGCATGTGTGTCGGAATGTTGCTCAAACTTAGCATGCTCATTTTGTACATACTTGCGAATCGACAGGCGTTTGAATTTTCGAACATGTTTTTTTAATAACTATCGTGAGACATACTAAATTAACTAAAACTCGCGGGTTACTTAATGAATATACTGAGAAACGCTATACTAGTTTCGAACCACAGAAGGGTTTTTCCTCATGCCTAGTGACTGCGCGTAAGCAGCAGACATCGCCGCGACCGCGCACGCTGCTCATGAGGAAGAACCCCTCTGTGGTTCGAAACTAGTAGAGCTTTTCTCGGTACTCACGTGAGTAACCCGCGAGATTTAGTTAATGTTTGAACATCATCAATAGAACGCATTTTAGCATGCTATCTTAGAGCATTAATAGTAACTTTAATGTCTTAAAAGCACTATAAATAAAGAGCTTCTATTGATCTGTTTTGGAGATATTAATTGAAGGTCGAAATGACAACAAACCTACTTTTTTCTAAAGTCAATGCTAAACTTTTAATTTCTGTTTCCTAACATTACATTTCTTATTTTGATTTCATCAATAGCAACGCGACAGTTGCCGCGTCGCAGGTCGCGAAATGCCGGTCATGAATATGAGCCTTTAGCATGGCTAGAAACTAGTCGAGTTCCTCGTCAGATTATTACGTGAGTAAGCCGAAAACACAATAATTTATGTTATTTTGATGTTTGATGATGATGTTTCAGGCTCTAAATTACCTTGGGTTCTTCTTCAAGTTCCTTCACAGTGTTGATGATGTTGTACAACTTGCCAAAGGCACCTGGTTTCGCTTCAGGTTCTTGGTTCTCCTATAAACAGAAGATAACTCTGTTAAGTGTGTTATAGCTTGGAATATCTAGGTGAAGAGGAAAGTGGTGACACGTTTATTCTTTTCTGCTCTCATCATACAACAAAAGATGTGCACCTATGCCTAATATTGCTTTAATAGCAATTCGTAATTACATATGAGTCCTTATGATTTGGACATGTACAGAAGATGAAAGCAGATTTACGCTAGAAGTATACAGAGCGGATATGAATGGGATCGTCGGTAGAGGGCGCCCTATGCGAAAAAATATTGTCGCGGAGAACCTAACGGGTAACCGGGGCTCCGGCTCGACATGCAGGAGTAGGAACGGGGTGGTTTTTAGTCAGTAAGAGTCTGACACTCCCTCCCGCCTCACCCAGGAAAAGTAATGCGATGATTTTTCCCCCTTAAAAAATGCGGACAAATATTGTCCAGATTGGCGATTTATTAAAGAAGGGCCAAATTAAAAGTACCCTTAACGGACGAGCATGCATGAAAAGACTGATGACTGTTGATGAAGCAAAAAAGATATGTAAGAACCGTAGCGTTTGGCGTACTACCGTCTCTGCCTATCCCCCATGAGGGACAGGCGTATGTATGTATGTGTCGTAATTACTTACCGTGCCATCCGGTTCCTGTAAAGCATTAAGCGACACATGTGCCATCAGACTCTCGTGGAACTCGTTCATCCTGGCGATAAGTTCCTCTCCACATGGACAGTTCTCTTTGTCTTCTTCTTCCAAGTGCTTGAAACCTGAGGAGGAAAAGAGATAGATATATATTAATTCAAGCGTTTGAAGGTCAATAATGAAAAAATATTTTGTTATCTATTTTAACGTACAGGCACGAATGGGTCCGCTCGATCGGAGTGATACCACGGCCTCACAGAAAACTGACGTGAAGCAACGCTTGTGTTGTGTTTCGTCGTGTGAGTAAGGTTACCGGAGGGCCAATTACCCCCCTCCCCAGTCTCCCCAATCCCCGAATACCCCACGATCCTCAAATTCCCAATTCCTAAAACGCCGGTCACGCACTAGTAACCTCTCTGGTGTTCCAGGTGTCCATGGGCGACGCCGATTGCTTACCATCAGGTGATCCGTCAGCTCGTTTACCGGCTTATCAATAGTGGACTACAAAAAGGCTGATAACGTTTTAGACCGCAGATTAAAAGGTTCATAAGTATAAATTACAAACATAATATAATTTATTTGTCAACGCACGACGATGACAAATAAATACTTACTCAAGATTGCGTTCATTTGTTCTCTGGGTGGGCAACGGAACTCTCTCGTCTTCTTAGCTGCTACCGCGCTGGGCAGGTCTGACTGCTTGATCTCTGTGTAACGTCTGTAAAATACATTGAATATTATATAGTTTACAGTCTATTGTCAATTATGAGGATTCCAAAAATTTTTCTATATATAAAAATATTCTCTTATAAATAATAGGTACCTACTTGAACTTACTAAAGTTGTGATAAAACATATTAAGGACTCGTACACAAAACTGCGATGCGATGCGAATTCGCAACGCAAAAAAAATACAATAGGAATTGCTGCGATGCGATTTCGTGCGACAAGGCGTCTCCCAGGTTGGCCGTTCCTTCGACGACCGTCAACCGTACTAAACGTATTTTAAATTGAAAACTAGGTCGTGACATAGATCGTAAACAGAAGTATGCACTTCTGTTATTACTTAGGAGATACAGAAAAAACAAACAAATAAGATTCTGGGAAGATAAGATTTTGTTGCGCGATGCTAATCAATTCGCAAGTTCTTGCGATACGTAGAGGGAGCTCGCACATTTTTGCGATGCGACGTCTCATCGCAGTTTTGTGTACGAGCCCTAAAATATCGATTGAAATTACCTAAATGACATATAAAATTATACACATTTTAACATGATTTTATCAACACTAAAACTTAAATAACTTTAAATACTAAAAATACATCCTTCCCTAATTAAATGTAGCTTGCGATCGTTCAATCACTGAGAAAAATAAAAATACCTATAAATCTATAATTTTACCTCAACTGATCAGTCTGTAGATCTCCAACGAAGTCATGCGCAAACGCAATGATAGCTTCGACCCTGTGTCTCAGCTGTATGTCGTTCAGATGTTGTAGTAGGTAACACATCTGTAACTTTGCGCCTTCGGCCATTTTCATGTGAAGTAGACCTTTGCGGTGCTCGTCTTTACCTTCTGAAATAACGAATAAGCATCATCAGTAAAATACACAGAATGCCTATAGGTACAACACAAAGAAGGATAACAACACCCCCGAAGGGGTAGGCAGAGGTGTACATTACGGCATTTAATGCCACTGTACAATGTAACACCCACTTTCCACTATGATATGAGTCGTATGTAATAGGGGGTGAGCCTATTGCCATTTACTGGGCACAATTCCAGACTCCGTTACATTACAGTGCCGTAATGTACACCTCTGCCTACCCTTGCGGGGATAAAAGGCGTGATGTTATGTATGTTTGTATTAATTGTGTTGCGTGCAGTCAACGCACACACGCGAGCCACTAAAGGATCCGTACAATACCAGCGCCATGTTCATGCTGAACTGGTCCTATTTCACTGCAGACTTGGACATGAACATGAATCCATCAGTACCTACTAATAGAATAACTCATCTGAGGCCTTAGTACGAAAGTTTGATTTAGCGCTCTGATTGGTTGGTTCATTGGCGCCGGCCAATCAGAGCGCCGAACGCGTACTCGTTACGAATACTTTAAACGTAACTCAAACTCGTACTAAGGCCTCTGTACATGTCACTAGTTTTACAGCGTTTGAATTTTTTTTTCTTTCACACTTTAATACACATATTACAATTCATTTAGTCGTTAAACGTTAATAGATGGGACAATTATTATTATTATGTCCTCTCGCGCGTCTCGTACACGGGTTTAATAGAAAGCGAATGAACTATACTGTTCAATCAAATAAAGAACGGGTTGCAACTTGAAAATATACATCACAGAAAAAGTTTCCAATCGGTGCAAGTCACTCGTACACCCGTGTGTACAATTGCGGCGATAGGCACTCAACTCTCTCGTACACACGTGTGTACAAGAAACGCGCGAGAGGATATAGCAAAAGTGACTTCGATTAGTCTTTATTACCTTTGTCAAACGAAGGGTCCCACGTTTCTGGGTTAGTCATGATGAGCAGCTTCTCAACATCTTCATCGCGCATCATTCCGACTAAGAGTAGTCGGTCTACTAGCTTTATTAATGGCCTGAAATATATACAAAAATAGTCCGTGAAATCTATTTCGTTTTCGTCCCGAAGTTTAATGGTTGTCTCGGTAATACAATAGAAGCTGGTGAACCATTGCAAATATGAAACTTTGATAGCGCTTACGAACTCATAATACATTATCAAAACATCACGCCATGTAATTTTCGAAGAGGTATTTCTCGTCGGGTGGCACGTGCGATGCGAATAGTGCTTACTAATTCACGTAGCATCTTCATTATTTTTGTTTTTACTTTATACATCGAAATTACACCTTATGGCAAGTTGTTTCGCCGCGAGATGAAAACGAAATACATTTCACGTCGTACACTATATCAAATATCAATTTTGTTTTAAAATGACAGTACCTACTACCCTTTGGTAGTGTAGTGGATGTTAGATAAATCTATTACCGAAAACCTGAACACCATAATACCATAGAGGTATCGATATTTTTACTCGATACTGTATCGGACCGCCGTCAAGTATCGATACTTACTCGGTATCGATTGAAAAGTATCGATACTTATTCGTATCGAATAGTTTTTGGAAAATGAAAGTTAAAACCGAAAGGAGCGTTAAAATTCTTTATTATGAATATGTAATTTACAAAAAGAAGTCTGTTTTTGTAGCGCTCCCTAAAAATATCCATCTTTCTAAATGCTTTCTGCCTGTAAGGCGACTCAGACTGTCAGTCAGACGACAATACTGTAAGGTGGGGTAGGAATAAAAAACGTTTTTTTTTCTTATGACAAAGTAAATGTTCATTAACTAATCCTTTAGTTTCTTCAACTTTTTAATTCTCTGTTTTCTCTGCTTGAGAATCCTTACTATCATAAATGGGAAAGTGAGTTTGTTTGTTTGTTCCGCTTTCACGCCGTAACTTCTAAACTGATTGCTTTGAATTTTTGCAGGCGTAAAGTTAGAAGTCCGGAATAAATAATAGGGTACTTTTTATCCCGGAAAATTTTGATATTCCCGAGGGAAAACAAAAGCATTGGTATAGATGGCGCTGTGTGTATTGGTATATGTCACACAGGCTACTTTTATCCTTTTGTGACGCAAGAGAAGCCGCGGGTAAAAGCTAGTTGACAGATATGTCAAAAAATATACATAAAAAATTCAATTTAAGAGTTAGTTTGCTGACAGTGACAGGCCAGTTATGACCAATTGGTACTTACAGGAACAGGTTCTCATTGCTGCCTCCTACAGGATCCCTGTTATGGACCTGGTTGGTCTCCACGGCCTCCGCCAGAGCTTGCATCACGAACTCACGGACCACCTCCAGCGGGAAGTACGGCGAGTATAGGTTGCTAATGTCTGTTATGCTTTCACTGAAACGGGAAAATAGACTTTATGTTGAAGGCATTAGAATGGTTATTAGGATGATTCTAATGATTTTATGTTTTGGAAGGATTTAAATATTCTATTGTAATCTTTTCGATAATCTTTTTGATATTGTTTTTCTTACGAGGACTTTGTTCCACATGATTTTCTTACATAACATAACA